ACTTTAAGAATGAAATAACCCATTTAAATTTACAAAAAAAAAAAAAAAAAATAACCCATTTAATAGCGCTAGAAAATTAACCCAATTGATTGAAGTGTGTGGCTAGTCCAGAACAAAATATATTAACCGAATAGAATACATGGAGCTGAAGTATCTTAATACGATCTCGATTTTTATTTTTACCCATTTACTTTTCCTTAAAAGTATTTTTCCAGTTAGTGGAGATAGTTATTTCCAGTAAACTCGAAATAATGTCATTTTGAGTTATAAGATTAAAAAACTATAATAATAAAGATTAATATAATCCTGCAATATATTAAAATTATAAAAATATCTTAATTTCCGTCCCAAAATGATATCATTTTAAACACATTAAAAAAAACTTATCTTCGTTGATTAAAAAAGTCCTTTACCCTTAAACATTGAAAAGCGCACCACAAATAATTAAGGTATGATGTTGGCTTGAAGCCATGTCCAGTAACCAAAAAAAAAAATGATATAATAGAATGCGACTCATGGGCAGAGGCAATTCACATTTATTTTGTCAATAAAATCAAATATAAAGCTCGGAAGTTTCTAAGGGTCAAGTAGGGATTTTAATTTATTATTATTATTATTATTATCATTGTCATTATTATTATTATTATGGGGACAGATATATTGTCTATTTATTTAATCTTGCTATCCTTATTACTTTTTTATCACCATTAATAATATTTAAATCAACGATTAAAAGAGAAAGAAATAAGAGGTGTAATTAGTTAAGAGAAGCATAATAAAATATTTAAAATCATTGATTTAAATATAATGATCGGTGATAAAAAAAATAATGGTAAGAAGAATAAATAGGCCGACAATATAATCATCTACTATTATTCTTAGAGTAAGGTATTTTTTGGATCCTTAACAAAAATCACAAGGTCCATTTTAATCTCTTAAGAAAAAAAAATGAACTTGTAATTCATCTAAAATTCAAAATAAATCAAGTTAATCAAAATTATGATCTCTCTAAAATTTAAAGAAAACTCATGTTAATGCGATCTCTCAAAATGATTGATGGATCTATCATGGTCAAGGACCAATTTAAAAAGCCATGGTGCCTCTGAGAGACAATTTCCATTTTATCTATGTTTTTTTAACAATATCCCCATTTTGACCCGTTATATAACACAAGGATCACCGGATCATGGAATACCTGCTCAACTAAGTGATGATCTTTCCTAGATCCTAGCCCTGGCAAAGTCTAATTAAAAAAGTTCAGATACAGCGCATTTTATAAAATCAGCAAACTTGTATTCTTATCCGACAACTATAAGGATACAGGGAATCCGTGAAAAAAAAACAAAAAGAGTAAATTTGAATTAACTTAATGGTGTACAAGATACAAGGTATCTGCAATAGATAAGTTTGTACTTGAATCGACTTATTTCGTGTTCAACATTTATTATAATTAAAGGTTTTTCGAAATATTGGTTTTTTAAAAAAAGTTATTCATTTTTTTAAAATAGTCAAATCCAAACATACACTAAAAGTCTGTAAGGGCCATATTATTAATGATAAGAGATAATGCTGCGCTGGAATAACATTAAGACTATATATTAGTCATATCCTCTAACTTTAGAGTCCTGTATTCCCCTATTAATTTTTATTTGTCGTAATCCATCTTCAATAGTTGCTAGTGATTACATTGGCCAAACGAACGTCACAATAATAATTAATCCCACACCCAAACCTCGTGGTCTTACCCGAAAAAGATTATCATTTGATATCCAATGGCGTTGAGTAACCCTATAGTCAGTTACTTGGAGGAAACAAATTTTGATATAAATATAATGTCCATGTTCTGCACGTTTTCTCCAATAAACTAAGGGAATATAGTTTCTCACTAGTTTCATGCACATACAAAAAAAAAAAAAAATTAGATCCACTTTTTTTCTTTTTTCTATTTTTAATAAATCGGACACACTTTTTTATGTATACACGATACAAAACATGAGAAACTATATTCCCATAAACTAATAGACAAGTTCAATTAATGATAGTAGATTTGAAAGCTAATTTAGGTGCACTTTTGGCTAAGCATGAATGTGTGTGCTAGATTGTGAAACTATTCTCCATTTTGTTCTATTCCAAAAAACAAGGCACCCATCAAAGAAAATATAAAAATTCACCCCTAAATTGGCACACTTTATTAATTAATAGAATTATTATATCAATGACAAACATTGTTGTTAAAATCTCGATTTATCACTACGATTTTATGATTTTTTTTTTCTTCATGAAAACGATTTTACTAATATTTCAAACACTTTTACGTTTTTACGATTTTTTACGATTTTACATTTTATAATTTTTTAATCTCTTTCCAAGTTTATTTAAGATTTCGATTTTAACAACATTGATCACAAGTTCAGATATTTAAGAGGATCTACTAGACTTCGAAACCATTCTGAATACTTAGAAGAGCACCATCATTTGCTGAACTGTGAGAAATAAATTTATAGAAATGTAAAGAGAAAGATGAAGAAAATCATCTCTTGTAAGTTTCTAACTCTGTAAACCCTGCCATCACTATACAGAGGAACTTGTGGCAGAAACCCACATCTATGGCAGACTATCACAAATATAAAATAACAAGTAATAAAAAAACCATTCCCCCCTGAAACCCAACTTGCAAGGGTAGGGGAATGCTGTATAAAAACATTAAAAATAATACCAAAAATTTCTATTAAAAAAAAAAGAAAAAAAAAAAGACCAGAGTCCTATCAACTTGCTATTTCTAAATTATATATGACATGTATCTATGTCATTTAACCATCAACTTCTTCAAAAGTTTGATCTAATTTTGGGAGTTTGGACACTGCAATATCACCATAAGCATTGTTTTGCTGCACATCCACATGACTGCTAGTTTTCAAAACCTGAAAAACATTACACAGAGAACAAGGTTAAAATGTTTTTCTTTCCTATGATCAGGGTAGTGAGTTCATTTTCTATTCCATAAGAAAGTAGCTCTATAGAGAACATTCTTAAAATAAGTCATGTTTGAGGCCCAATCACTTCATGAATCATGAGTAATTGCAGTCTTACTTTTGTAAGGAAGAAAACAAAAAATGCTCCACTCCTACAATAAACTAAGAACGAATTGTTGATAAGCAAGCATCAACAATGACTTATTCTACCACATAAGCAATGGCAATATCTTATACTACCACATAAACACATAGATTAAACCAGCTTGTTTCATGAGGGCAAAAAGTAATTAAATAATGACAAAGTAAATGATTGAAAATTTGAAAGGATCAACTTGTTTTGTAAATATCAATAATGACTGCTAAGAGCAAAAAGACTGACACAAGTTCCATGTTCCCTTGCATTGTAGATTTATATTTCAACTGGATGACAAATTTGATACATTAATTGAGCATCTCCCTCAGTAAAAGTTACAGAAGCTCATCACTAGTTTGACATCAAATGAACAACTAATATTCCACATTTTCGAGATATTATTCAGATAAAATAGGGCTGATAATTATTAATAACTTAACAGGTCAAAAGTATGATATCATCCACAGAACCAGAACAGTAGCAAAGACAAGAATACACAATTCTGATTGCTGCTAAGAAAATGAAATGATAGAAGTTTGCCTTATCACCAAATCTTTTTATATGCATGGATATAATCTTAAAACACAAATTGAATTACCAGTATTTCATAAAATAGCCTTGCACATTCTTTCTTGGGTCGTCCTCCTACTACTTGTGAAAAGTTCACAACCTCATTCTCTTTTTGTTTCCTTAATTCAACAAAATTGCTGTGCAAGTGACTTGCAACTTTCCTATACAATGTTAAAGAAGACAATCATAAGCCAATCTTGCAAACAAGAACTACATTGTTGGCATTCCAAGACACAACTACCATCTCACCTGGTTCGATCAGACCACCCAGCCACTGTAAAGAAAAGAATCAAGAAACCATGGACTGTTAGACAGAACATAGAATTTAACAAAAATTATTTTGATTTATACGTGAATATTTGCAAGAGTTCTTACAAGATTTTGAATTCTCTGTTTCAAATGAATTTGTATCCTGAGACAAATATAAGATATGCAAGGAGACATCGATTAGTTTATAGTCAAATAATAAAGAGAGGACAAGAAGACTGAAAAAGGGATTATTACTCAAAACAAAATAAGCTCAGCAAGAGAAAGACTTTCCAAGATACGGCATCCTCACATGCACATTTTCTAAAAAGCTGGTTGGGGAATTTTTTCTTCAGCAAAAGGATAGGGACTTAGCTTTGATGCTTGAAATCATCATGTCTAACATATTTGATATTTCTATCAGAAAATTCACAAAGTTTTTTAATTTAAATTTTTTGATAAATGAAAAATATATGAAGGAACATAGAGCAAAAAAACTCTCAAAAAGAGAGACAACATGTCCTGCGCTCCCAAAACAATTGTAACCTCAACTGTCTAGCAAACTGAAAACATTACTACATGATAGTTGTTGCTCATTAAACTGCAATGTGGTTTTGCTTTAGGCAAGTTGGATGTATTGCAATATGCTCAACAACAAAAAAATGTTAGTGTCAGTAAACCAACAGAATTTTCATGGTTTAGATATTCTTTACCTCTTCCATCAGATTAAGCATTTCATCCCTTTCCAAAGATTGCTCTATCTGTATACTTTCATGTGGACTTGAAGGTCCTAAATTATTCGTGCTTTGAATTTCAGATTGCTCTATCTGTATGCTTTCATGTGGACTTGAAGGTCCTAAAATATGAGTGCTTCGAATTTCAGATTGCTCTATCTGTATGCTTTCAGGTTGACTTGAAGGTCCTAAATTATGTGGGTTTTGAATTTCAGATTGCTCTATCTGTATGCTTTCATGTGGACTTGAAGGTCCTAAATTATGTGTGTCTTGAATTTCAGTTCTCTCTGGGCAGCTAACTTTTATTTTTGGGCACAGAGTAGGGGTTTGAGGAGAATATGCTGGACTTTCCTCAATTACAAGGGAATCTGTGCACTGGGGAGGGGTTTGTGGAGCAGTTGCTCTATGCCCAGGACTGCCAACAGTTCCAGATTCTGACACATCTAACTTCCCCAGAGTCTCCACAATTTCAAGGGAATCTGATATTTTCATTTTGTTTTTAGAGAACAGGAATTGAAGCTCTGAGGAGTTACCTGCAGAAAAACATAGTTAGCACAGATAACAGAATCTATGAGCAAAAAAAAAGATGATAAAGAGTCAAACTTACAAGGAAGTACAGATTCACAGAATCCATCAGGAAGTCTGGAAATACGAGATTGTCTCTGCTGCGCAGCAAGCCAAATACGAGATCCTTTCTGATTAGCAAGCAAAGTACGACGGAATTTTCTTCGACCAGAAATTAAGTCACTTGCATCTTGTATGCTCTTTTTAACTACCCTGAAATGGTACAAAATGCAGTGTGTTCAGTCAGAGAGTTCAAAGTATCATTATGTTCAAAATGCATCTTGTATGCTCTTTTTAACTACCCTGAAATGGTACAAAATGCAGTATGTCAGTCAAAGAGTTCAAAGTATCATTATGTTCAAAATGCATCTTGTATGCTCTTTTTAACTACCCTGAAATGGTACAAAATGTTGGTAAAAAATTGCTTCAATACTGCAATATGTCCATGTGTCCTTTACCTCCCTGCTTTCTTAGAATACGTTTCCTTTCCTTTGTTGTCTCAGTTAATAAAACCATGTTATCCTAGTCTTTAGGAAGTAGTTAGACATGTTAATCATGGCTGGGATTTTGATGTATGATTCTCTCACTTTCTGTTTGTTTCAGCTCTATAAATATAAGCTTGAGAAATCAAAAAAATTAGATTTCCTTTTTTGCTGCACACCCGTATCCTTCTTTTCTTCCTTTACTATCAAATAATTCTTCAATCCTCTTTTTCTTCATCTTTAAAACTAACACTTTTGAACCAGTCTTGAGTACAAGGATGCAGGGAAAATAAACATTGAAAGATTTATATCTCATAAAATGGCATGACAGAAGAACTTCAGACATATGAATAATAGCAGGAAAGAACAGTTGAAAAGAAGGGCGCTTAAAAATATTTTCTATAATCATTATCACATACTCATCAGGCAGGACAGTCCTTCGATCAAGAACAACTTTTCTTTTCCTTGGAAAGCAAGAGCGCTCTCTCACAGCTGGTGTAGAAATAAGCAAAGACTCTGGTGTAGCAGCACCTGCCAAAATAGATTTTTAAGTACGTGTTAGAATATTAGATATGATATGATTAGATTTGATTAGATATGATTGGATTCTGTCTTATCCGTAAATAGTCTGACTGTATTCTGACTGTATAGGATTAGGTTTGGATTAGGTTTGGGCCTTACACTTAAGCCCATTAGGATCTCTATATATTGTAACTCCCTGACACAGATCAATACATAACGTATTCTTTTACATTTAACTTGGTATCAGAGCTTTTTCGCTCTGGGGATCCGCTTCCGCTAAAACCCTAAGCCCACTGCTTAGGTGTTCTCTTCTACTTTACCGTGCATTCTTCCGGCGAGTTTCTCTCTAAGCCGTGTGTCTCTCCGGCTTGTTTCTTCAACTGTCAGAACCACTTCCCACCGCCAACAACCGCCGCTCGTCACTGTTCAGGCCACCGGAACCACTTCCGGCCGCCAACAACCGCCGCTCGTCACTGTTCCGGCCACCAGAGCACTGTTCCGGCGAGTTTTCAGCCCAGACTACCTGCGATCAGGACCGTCTCATCCCGGCGACCAGTTCTGTGGTGGTCCGACCACCGTCGCGTCATCAACGCGCCTCCACGCGCCGTTCTTCTCCTCTGCGCGTGGTGCTCACGCGCCACCTTCAACCGGCGCGTGTGCACTGTTCCGGTGGATTTTTCCGGCCGTTCTTGGACAGAACTTCTCGCCTTCTTCTCCTCTTTCTGGATCTGTGCTTGGTTCTTTGTGGGTCTCACTTTAGACGCGTGGTTCTCCTTGATTGGATATCGTTTGCCTTCGTTTACGGCTTTTATATTCTGTTTTTAAATGGCAGCAGCGTCCACTGATCTCTCGGAGGTTAACTCTCCTTGTCCTCCTGTCAAAACTTCCTCAGGAATCATCTCTACTAATATTGGGCTCATTACATCTTCCAAACTGAAGGATTCTACCTCTCTTGCTGCGAATATAGCTCAGTCAGACAATGCATCATTTGGTTCAGTTTCTCTCTCACTTGCGGACTATGCTGCACTCCAAACTCTTCTCAAGAAAGCTTCTCCTCAGTCTCAACCATATACTGGTAATCCCGTTGCTTGTGTTTCTCATTCTACATCACTTGGCACTTGGATATTTGACTCAGGTGCTACCGATCATCTCTGTGGTAATAAGGAACTTTTTACATCTCTTACTTATTCTGATCATTTACCTTCTTTTACCCTTGCGGATGGAACCAAAGCCCCAGTTCGTGGGATTGGACAAGCTCGTCCGACCTCTACCTTGGCCTTGACATCTGTTTATTACATTCCTGGCATCCCTTATAACTTAATTTCTATTAGTAAGTTGATCCACTCCCTCACTTGCACCATTACTTTCTCTAACCATTCTGTTTCTGTGCAGGATCCGGGTACGGGGGAAATGATTGGAGTGGGTCGTGAGTCACGGGGGCTTTACTATCTGGATGTGCCTCGTCCTTCAGTGGCACTCTCTCTCACAGAATCTCCACAACTTATCCACAATCGCCTCGGTCATCCAAGTCTTTCGAAGTTGCAGAAAATGGTTCCTCTTTTATCCGGTCTTCAGTCTTTAGATTGTGTGTCATGTCAACAAGGGAAGCATACACGTTCCTCTTTTGCCAATCGAGTCAATAAACGAGCTGATGCCCCTTTTTCTCTTGTTCATTCAGATATCTGGGGTCCAAGTCGTACCTTGTCTGTTTTAGGTTTTCGGTATTTCGTTACCTTTATTGATGATTTTTCCCGTTGCACTTGGGTCTATTTAATGAAAAATCGTTCTGAGTTATTTTCCATTTATAAAAAGTTTTATACTGAGATTCATACTCAATTTGGTGTTTCTATTCGTATTCTACGTAGTGATAATGCTAAGGAATACGTTTCTATTGATTTTTCTAATTTCTTGGCCACACAAGGTACTTTACATCAAACTACTTGTCCTCACACTCCACAACAAAATGGGGTGGCTGAACGTAAAAACAGACATCTCATTGAAACTGCACGTACCCTTCTTCTTCATATGCAGGTTCCCCTTCACTTCTGGACAGATGCTGTACTCATCTCTTGTTTTCTCATCAATCGCATGCCCTCATCTGTGCTCAACAATGACATTCCTCATAACCTATTGCTTCCAGATGTTCCTCTTTATCCTCTAACTCCACATGTCTTTGGTTGTACTTGTTTTGTTCATGATCTCACTCCTGGTAAGGATAAGTTAACATCCAAAGCCTTTCAGTGTATCTTTCTTGGTTATTCTCGTCTTCAAAAGGGTTATCGTTGTTATTCTCCCGATCTTAAGCGTTACTTAGTTTCCGCTGATGTAACTTTTCTTGATCAACAACCCTTTAATTCTATTCCATCTCAGTTGTCACAGGTTGATCATGTTCTTCCTGTCCCTTTTCTTGACTTGTCTTTGCCAGCTGCAGGTGCTTCTATTCCAAATGAGCAACCTATTGCTTCTATACCTGAGGACCGTCCACTTCTCACCTATCAGCGTCGCAAAACTATGCCTCCTGTCGACTCGACTCTTGCTGACTCATCGCCCACTGCTGTTGCTTCTTCCTCTCCGGATCCTTCACCAGAGGCTCTTCCCATTGCTCAAAGAAAAGGTACTCGTACTACTCGTAACCCTTATCCTCTTTATACTTTTTTGAGCTATGACCGTCTTTCTTCACCTCATCTCACCTTTGTTTCTAGTCTTTCTTCTATTTCTATTCCTAAGACCACAGGTGAAGCACTTTCCCATCCAGGGTGGCGCCAAGCGATGCTTGATGAGATGACTGCACTTCATTCCAATGGCACTTGGGACCTTGTTTCTGCTCCTCCACAGAAGTCTACAGTTGGTTGTCGCTGGGTGTTTACTGTGAAAGTTGGACCTGATGGCCATGTTGATCGACTCAAGGCCCGCCTAGTTGCAAAGGGTTTTACTCAAATATTCGGCCTTGATTATAGCGATACATTCTCTCCGGTCGCTAAGATGGCGTCTGTCCGCCTATTTCTTGCCCTTGCTGCTGTTCGTCACTGGCCACTCCTTCAACTTGACATCAAAAATGCCTTTCTTCATGGTGATTTACAAGAAGAAGTTTACATGGAGCAACCACCTGGTTTTGTTGCTCAGGGGGAGCCTGGGAAGGTGTGTCGTCTTCGAAAATCCTTATATGGTCTCAAGCAGTCTCCTCGAGCATGGTTCAGTCGCTTCAGTTCTGCTGTTCAGGAGTTTGGCCTAATTCGCAGTAAAGTTGATCACTCTGTGTTCTATAGGATCACATCTCCTGATAAGTGCATCTATTTGTTAGTCTATGTTGATGACATCATTCTCACCGGGAGTGATCAAGACGGAATCCATCAGTTAAAACAACATTTATTCAGTGCATTTCAAACAAAGGACCTTGGGAAGCTGCGTTACTTCTTGGGAATTGAGGTAGCACAATCTAGACAGGGCATTTCTATCTGTCAAAGGAAGTATGCCTTGGATATCCTAGAAGAGACTGGTATGTTGGCGTGTAAGCCAGTTGATACACCAATGGATCCTAATGTTAAGTTATTGCCCAGACAAGGGGAGCCGTTATCTGATCCTGGACGTTATCGAAGGCTGATTGGGAAGCTCAATTATCTTACTGTGACTAGGCCAGATATTTCTTTCGCTGTCAGTACGGCCAGTCAGTTCCTTGATTCCCCTTGTGATTCACATTGGGATGCTGCTGTGAGGATCCTCCGATACATCAAAGGAGCACCAGGAAAAGGTTTGTTGTATTCGGATCAGGGAAATACAGAAATTTGTGGTTACTCAGATGCCGATTGGGCAGGATCACCCTCGGACAGACGCTCTACTTCTGGTTATTGTGTCTTCTTCGGAGGAAACTTAATCTCATGGAAAAGCAAGAAACAACCTGTTGTTTCCCGATCTAGTGCAGAAGCTGAGTATCGTGCAATGGCAAATACTACCTGTGAGTTGATCTGGTTAAAGCAGTTGATTCAGGAGCTTCATCTTTGTGAACAGAAACAACCCATGACACTCATCTGTGATAATCAAGCTGCGCTACATATATCCTCTAATCCTGTTTTTCATGAGAGGACCAAACATATAGAGATTGATTGTCACTTCATTCGGGAAAAGATTCAGTCAGGAGAAATCAAGACAGCTTTTGTCAACTCATCTAATCAACTAGCAGATGTTTTCACTAAAGCTCTTAGAGGTCCTCGGGTTGAATACATTTGTAACAAGCTTGGTGCTCATAATATATACGCACCAGCTTGAGGGGGAGTGTTAGAATATTAGATATGATATGATTAGATTTGATTAGATATGATTGGATTCTGTCTTATCCGTAAATAGTCTGACTGTATTCTGACTGTATAGGATTAGGTTTGGATTAGGTTTGGGCCTTACACTTAAGCCCATTAGGATCTCTATATATTGTAACTCCCTGACACAGATCAATACATAACGTATTCTTTTACATTTAACTGTACGAAAGCAAAAAAATTTAAGTAGGAAAATGAACTACATGCCAAAAATGAAGAAAATATTCAGCAGTTATATTTTCAAGCTTTCTACAGAATAATGGGTTTTATAAACCTGGTTTTGGTCTTCCAACTGAACCACCTTGAAACCTAGATTGAGGAGTTACATCAACATTTGTTGGAGCTACATCAACATTTATTGACTCCGGTGTAATAATGCTAAGCCTTCCATCTTCAAGTGAAACCTTTTCTTGAAACTCTAATTTCCCTTCCTTTTCATGCTCTTGAACAGACCCTTCAATGAGTTCTTCAAGGTTCTCGGCAACAGAAGACTTACCATGGTCCACGCATTCCTTTTGATAGGATTTGTCACCCTGTGGCCTTTCTAAACTTTCTCTAAAATTTCTTGCTTCATGAAAATCTATAATTTCCTGATGCATTTGACATGATGAGCTTGATGCTTCCTTGGCCAAACTCTGCTCGCCGTCAACTTGATGAGATTCATTCAATGCTTCAACAGATAATACAGGTTCCTTCTCTCTCCCCGAAAACTTACCAATATCCACATGTTCCTCTTGAGAGAATATACTTATTTCTTCATGTATCTCATCCTTACATGGTACAGTTTCTTGATCTGTCTGATCTTCATTAATTTGTTGATCTTGACCAAGCATGTTGACAGAATCTGTTTCTACTCCTTCAATTGCTAAAACAGTGTCAATGTTCATTGGTTCCTTTCGAGAGAACATGCTGTTTTGAAATAAATCCTCGTCCTCCAGTAAATTAATTGGACTACTTGGTGGGAAAATGTCAAAGTACATGTCCATCAGGTCACATCGACCAACACTGTAAGACATACAACAAACTTAAATATGTTCAATGGAGAAAATACAATGCAATGATTCACTTGAAAGGAGAGAAATTGAAAAATATTATTGATTATAGAAAAAAAACATGTACAAAGGAATACGATATATATAGAGACTAAAGGAATGAATCAAAATCTTAAAAAATAAGAAAACGTAATCTGCCTACTAAAAGAAATAAATAATTGCATAATCTGACTAATAAAGGAAACAAATAACAACAGATATCTTCCATATTTATAACAGATTCCAAAAGATATTCAGCAGCATGTTATGATGGAATGAAAAATTTAAATTTTGAAAAATTGGATGAACGTACCCTTCCACCTGAAGGTGATTAGAAGAACAGGCATTATCACCGAAATCAAAATCCTCAAACTGCAAATCACAAAAACTAAGATATTGAGGATGCGCAGAATCAAGAAAATAGCAAATAAAACTGTTTACATAATGTAAAGTAGAGATATATTTGTGAAAACTTTACTAAATGTGGGTGCATGTCTCTGTATTAATATTCAGTAAATTAAGTTAGCAGTAACAACACAACAGGACATAAATACCAACCGTACATTAATCATGTGCGTCGTACAATTAATTCTCAACATTTAGTATCCGAAGTCACCAAATCTATTTTTATGTAAATTTAAAACCATCAAGAATATGTAAATGTCCAGAATCAATAAGCCAATAAATATGATAACTACAATTAAGATAGTATATTCTATTTAACAAGGGTCACCCAGTCATTCACTGATGATTTAGATTGGCACCAGACACCTTGCAAATTATTCAACACAGATATGACTATAGTTTGTACAATATTATTTGTTAGCATCATATTCCATCATCTGTGTTGGTAAAGATTCCCAAGTATATTTGGTACAAGTCTGTGCCCAATTTCATTCTCCAGATGTTATGCAAAAATTAATCTCCAAATCTTTTCTGCCTTTGTTTTCACTTCAATATTATCAGGAGAGAGTCAATAACAATCAAAATAAATATATAAAAATAAAAAACAAGAACAGCAAGAGATTGGATGTTATGAAAATGGCTGTCGAATATGAATGTTCAAGGACCAACATCAACATCAACATCAATAAAGCATTTATCAAAAACAAGTTCAGGGACCAATTCACCAAAAAATTTAAGCTATTAGGAGTATAGCCCGGCAAATAAGTAATGTGTATGTGTCTTATACATTGCTTGCACTAGGTCATTGATAAAAATTCTTACAAAGGAACTCCATAGATGACAATGAATTACCAACTGCCATGTGAGTGGCAATCGACAAGGGATACAGCGAGACATACATGGAAAAGAAAGAGCATTCAATAGACATAAGTTGATAGGGAATATATAAGCGAAGAGCAGAAGATAAACAAAAACACAAACACTATACAGTAAATAAAATAGAAGAAACGTTATTCAGGTAAGGCTCAAAGGATTGAAAAACTGTAAGCACTACAATGTCAATGCAACACATAGTAAGAACTATAAAATGCATACCTTGTCTAGAGAAAACGGCCCAAATCCCCCAGTTTTACACAAAACATCTGTTTCATTTCACAGCATATTACTATTACTTAAACAAAAGAACAAGATTAAACTTACAACGAAAGGGAAATTGTGAAGCAATTGTAGTACCTTTAAGAGTAATGTCTTCTGGTCGAGCAATATGCCTTCTGAAATTAACATATGACAAGTTATGAAATGCTCCAAACAAAAGAAAATTCCATAACAAATTAAACTTCTAAACCTAATAAAATCTTACCCTCCAGAATCTTCAAGTATTTTTAAATCGAATGCATCAAGCTCGAATCTTTCAGGTATGGTTATAGGCATTCTCATGGTTTCGACATTTGCGAAGTCTTTAGCATTCATCAGAAATTTATTGATTTTCACGAGAGCCTCATTGCAGTCATAAAGTAGAAATTGAACCTTTCTAGAATATATCCTGATGACACCTAGAAGAAGATATCCAAGCACTCGATAGCTAACGGCATCAATTTCACAATTTAAAATCCGGTCTGCAAAACATAAAAGGGAAAAGAAAAAAATGGAAACAGTTACATAATATTAGCCCATTCCACAAGACTGATTATAATCTGAACTTAAAACATTCTTAATAATTGTTGGAAGACCAAGCCATCACGGATAATCTATATAGAAGTACTTTTTACTAACCTCTAACATAATTAGATATAATTAATCAGCTTAGAAGAGCAAGTAAAACAAAATAGTTTAACATTTTTCAAATTTGACCCAGTAAAGAAAAATAATAATGCTAATATTACAGTTGCTGCATGGGTAGTGCCAAGAACACAGGGTGCTAGGGTCCATTGGCCCCAGAATCTTTCCCCTTGGCAAATATAGTCTACTCTGAATAAAAATTGAACAAACAACTCCTCACAAAATCAACAGGAGTACCAAACATCCATTACCAAAGACTATAGAGTTAGGAGAAGTTTAGAGGAAAAATATATATGATTAATCAGTCTACACATGTATATATTAATAGTGTAAGAATAATTATCTCCTAAATTAGAGCATATATGTCAATCACAGATAATACTACACATTGTACAAGTGCTTAATTCCAACACTCCCTCTCGAGTAGGAGCAGATATGTAATATGTGTCAAGCTTACTACAAATAATGTCAACCGGAAGCCCTCTAGGGACTTCGTAAATATATCACCTAACTGGTAATAGCACAACATTAAAAGAAATGTCATAAGCTACCTAACTAATACTCCCAGCCAATGTAATATGGATCCCTAGATACAAATGAAAAGATCATAGAAGTTCTATCCTTAATATTGAAACCATAAAACAGAATATTGAATTGAGAAAATGATGCCTACCAATGTCTTCATGTGGTATCAATTAGCATTTACTAGAATTCATTAATAAATGTTTGGATTGGTATTCATTGTTCCCCATTAGTATCAATTAGCATTTGTTAGCTTCTATTTATAAAATATTGATATCAACAAATTGGTATCAATTAGTCCAGATTAGGATCAATTTCCTTTCTAGTATTTCAAATCCTTGTGGCTGTGTGGAATAGGCAAGCAATTAAGCGATTATCTTCTTCCAATCTTCTCTCTCCTTCTCTCTCTCTGCCCCCCCCCCCCCCCTCTCTCTCTCTCCCCCTCCCCTTCTTCTCCATCTCTTCTCCTAGAACTATCAATCTACAGCAATACATTTACCCTTAACAACTGGTGCTTTCATTGACTCTTGCATCCACCATGCTAGCAACTCATTCTCAACAGCATGAACCTCATTTGCAAACGGTGCAACAACTAGCTAATGCAAGAGCCACTCCCATCAAACAACTACACCAGGATTTTATGTACTTTCAAGCCAAACAACTATGACCAGTATTGGACAAGTATGACCAGCGGCTCTCTATCACCCTCCGACAGGAGCCACCAACACTACTACCATTGCCCACCAATCCAGCGTCAGGCATTCTTGGCAGTGTTCCGCACTAATCCACACGTTCAGACAATGGCTCAGCAAATGGACTGCCTCATGTTCCCATGTTTTTCCTCCACTGCCCAGACCATATGGTTTTCAACCTGCAATACTATTTTCAGTATTACAACATGCACGCATCTCGATGCACCTGCAGCCACTTGATACCAAGGTTTGGCGAATGATACTCTCCTACCCAACTAAGACACATTAAGTACTATAAAACACACCAAAGGATCTGCTAACCGTGATGCATCTCGATACACCTACAGCCACTTGGTACCCAGGTTTGGCAAATGATATCCTCCTACCCAATTGGAATGCTTTTGTATAGGTCATTCATCGCCACTTTGGTCCCTTCACATATGAGGCATTTCCCTCCTCTCCAAGCTGTCTCAGACTGGCATTGTCCATGATTACCTAGCTACCTTCGAGAACCTTGCCAATCATGTCAAGAGCATTTACACAACTTATTTATCTCCAGGTGGAAACACCAAGTGCACATGGTAGTCCAAGCTCATCAGCCTGTGGACTTGCATGATGCATTCACCTTGTATAAGTAAACTCAGCGAGTCGCACCTCAACAACCGGCAATTTCAAACATAAAACAACTAATAAATACATAAATAAAATTCTAGGTTAAAATGCTTCCAATTTAGTAATAGTGAACCACTCAAATATTAGTGGTTAATGAGTAAACACTTGAGTAGCTAATTGTCCTAAACTATAAATACTTTTACCAAAAAAATTATTGTTTGTGATTTTCCCCATAAAAAATGTTTCCATTCTGACTCTTTGATTATTACGCATTTTGTCATCACAAATTATGATGTTATTATTTATAAACCATTACTACCATCAATACCACATCCACAGCGGACAGCCTAAGAAATATTTTGACACTAGGGTTAGTTTGGTATGAGGGGAAATTTGTTATTAAAAATTCAAGGATGAGTTTTCACACCCCTTGCCTTGTGACCTAGTGTCATTTGAGCACAGGATTTACCCTATCTTGCCATCTTGCAACAACCAGAATATTCTAATTATACGTAGGCCAACTCAGTCAGTCAGTTTGAAGGGTGGAAATGTGGCATAGGTTTTTTTTTATGCAAATAAAACTAATTCATTAATTTTTCACCTCCATTCTTAACCCTATACCAAACATACCATAACATAATATAATCATTATCCATATTGCTAAGTTGATGACAATATTAGCCGACACAAGTATCAAGTAACACTTTTTCCAAGTGCATCTTCTTCCACGTGCATGATTGTTACATGGTTCATTGGTAGTTGCCTTTCTGTTAGTTGGGGATGTTCTGTTAAGCTACTGTTAACTTCTACTTGTATGTTCATGCACGATCAATAGAAATCAGATTCAATTTCTTCAAAACCATTTTTGCTTTCAGCAAACAATGTGACCACTACCACGTCCACCAATGCCACTATTCTTTCTCCTTAAAGTTGAATTCAGTTCCAATAACTTTCACATTTTAACAGGATTTATCAATTACCATGGCAATTGGCATATAGGATAATCACCTTAATACAATAGACATGTAAATAATCACTATAAGTTATATACCGAAGAACAAAAAAAAAAATGCTGAGGTAGCAGAAGTTTCATCATAACAGCTATATTATTTTTCCTAGAGGGTTAAAACCATTCTGTTAAACCAAAGGCCAAAGGGTATCTGGAGACCAATAAAATTGTTTAGAATCCCAAATACGAAAATGCTTTCCACCACTAATTTTGCATTTAACCCCATCTAGAACTGCCCCTTGTGTGACCAATTTCTCAAACTACTTAGTACTTACAAACACACAAGAACATTAAAAATAAAAATAAAAAACACCGAATGTGAAAATACACTCTCCCCTATCACCCATTTTTTGGGAATAAACAATGAGAGAAACCAACCAAAATGCCAGCCATTAGCAGCACAACCATGTCAAAGAGCTTGAATTTTTCTGAGCAAAAATAAATAAATAAATAATTTTTTCCATCATTTATTGTGTCCCAGTGAAGAATGAGAGAAACTAACCAAAAGGCCAGCATTACAACACAACACAACCATGTAAAAAGGATGAATTTTTCTAAACGATTCCATCATTCCTTGTCTCTCAGTTAAGAATGAGAGAAACCAACCAAAAGGGCCAGCATTAGCAACACAACACAACCATATCAAAAAGCTTGAATTTTTCATAGCAAAAAAAAATAACTTCTACTTTTCTCATCATATCTTTCAAAACCCACATAAGAAATAAAGGGAAAAGGGAGAGAAGGGGTTGGAAGGTTTGTCAAGTTGACAGAAAGAGTGTAGAGAAAGAAGACTAACCAACTAAGGAGGAAATGTCAGCCTCAAAAACGTGAACTTTCTTGAGCTGCTTGAAACTGTAAGCAGCAACCCACAAAGGACTTCTTCTAAGTGAAACAAGGGACTTGGAATTCATCATTTTTCAGCTCTAGCTTTTGCTCTCTTCTTCTTCTTATTCTCTTAGCTCTGTATAGTGTGTTTGAGTTTGAATTTCAGAATGAAAGAAAGGAACTTTAAGCGTTGTAACTTGGTTTCTGACATGAATATATAGAAGTTGTACTCCTTTGCATAGAAACGGTCGAGTGGAGTGGACAACAAGCTCTTCATGCCGAAAACAAGTAGAAAACGCCAGCATCTTTCTTCTAAGGAAACAAGTCAAAAAAACATTTTTTTTTTTTTTTTGGAAACATCTGAATTAGGGACGTAATCTTTTTTTTTATTTTCAAAATTTATATAATTTACTTTTTTGGGGGTGAAATAATATGATTTCCTTTTGACCATTATATTTAAAGAATTTTTACTAAAATACTCAATAAATTAATTTTTTAAATTTATTATACTCAATGCTTTGCTTTTAATTTTAATATTTTTTATTGGAATTTCTAGAACATTCAATTATAAAATATTTTTAAACTACTAAAGAAAATATTCCTTTTAAAAATTCTATTTAAATAATTTTAGTAAAATGTATCATAAAGACAGGTGTTAAAGAATAGGGAAAATGTTCAATGAATTAAATTTTTAAATTTATTATATTAAATACTTTGATTTTAATTTTAATATTTTTATTGGTATTTCTAGAAAATTCATTTACAAAATATTCTTAAACTATTAAAGAAAATATTCCTTTTAACCATTATATTTATATAATTTTAGTAAAATGAATCATAAAAGACAATAAAAATCTATATATATATACAAAGGAGAGTTCAATGTTGGAAATTTCGCTGATGTGTCACTCCCTGCTTAATTCTGAAAATTGTGTTCACACTACATGGCATATAAAAACTTTCCTTCTTTGATAAATTGGAAAAAGAATTTCTTTTAAAAATCGATCTTTTTTTAAATCGAAAAATAAATGACCATTTGTGGTGGCAGACAAGACATTGAATGTCTCACTGCCCATCACATTGGAATTGGTCAGCTGATTTAATTGCTTTTTACATTACTAACGACACAAAATCCTTGCAAATAATAATTATTTATTATTATTTTTTAAATGTGATTGCAATAAATGAAAGTCTATCTCAAAGATTAGTGTAGTTGCTTTTTATTTTGTTCATATGCTTTTGTTGCAATGTAAGCAAAAAATATGACTTATACATACTTAGTTGATTAAGTTGCATTCAAATCCCGTTCAGACAACATTTTTTTTTGTCCTTAAAAAAATTTAATCCAATCTTTTTTTTTTTTTTGCTGATACTATGACTTTTGGGTGTTAACATATTAGTGTTACTTATTTAATGAGTTTTTGCCTTCTGTATCGTAGGCACAAGAAACGAAAATCACACAAGAAATGACATATTTAGTAAGTGTTGAACTCGTCCCTCCAATGATTGCTACGAAATGACACTGAATGAATAGCGTTTTCATATTATAGGTAAAAGCTGATATTTTAAATCCATATTTGTTTGGTGTTATAGTTACCTTGATTTTGTTGATGAATGTTATAGTTAGCAATGATTTGTACGCATTTTTCTTTTTATATACCTTTCTCATGTTAACATGGTGTATTATAACGTATTATGGTGTATTATGATGTAGTTGTATGCAAAATTAATTATCCCTCTGAATAACAGATTTTTGTTTGTGATTGATATTTGCAAAGCTCTGTGTCAATGCTGTAATTTTTTTCACTTGAAATATAGAACAAAATAACAACACAGTTTTTTTGTAAATATAAGGTTTGCAATGCGATTAACCAACCACGGTGGACAACAAAATTTTTGATCTTTTTTTCCCGTGCATCGCACGGGTAATATACTAATGTAATACTAAAGAATAGAAAAAATGCACAATAAAATAAACTTTAAATTTATTATATAAATTCTTTGCTTTAATTTTAATATTTTTTATTTTTTTGGAGGTTACAAGGAATTGAACACAACACCCCACACCACTAGGCTAACCCTAGTGGTAATAGAACATTCATTTATAAAATATTTTTCAACTATTAAAGAAAGTATTCCTTTTAACCATTATATTTATATAATTTTAGTAAAATGTATCATAAAAGACAGATACTAAAGAATAGAAAAATGCTTAATAAAATAAATTTAAAAAAAAAATTGGTGGACAATTTTAAATTTATTATATAAATGCTTTGGTTTAAATTTTAATGTTTTTTATTGGTATTTCTAGAACATTCATTTATAAAATATTTTTTTTTGATAAATTTATAAAATATTTTTAAACTATTAAAGAAAGTATTCATCTTAAACATTATATTTAAATAATTTTAGTAAAATGTATCATAAACGGCAAATATTAAAGAATAGAAAAAATGCTCAATAAATTAAATTTTTAAATTTATTATTTAAAATCTTTTCTTTTAATTTTAATATTTTTTTATTTGTTGTTCTAGAACATTCATTTATAAAATAATTTTAAACTATTAAAGAAATTATTCCTTTTAACCATTACATTTAAATAATTTTGGTAAAATATATAATAAAAGACAAATACTAAAGAATAGAAAAATGCTCAAACAAATTAAAATTTTAATTTATTCTATAAATATTTTCTTGTAATTTTAATATTTTTTTCTAATTCTAGAACATTCATTTATAAAATATTTTTAAACTATTAAAGAAAGTATTCCATTTAACCATTATATTTATATAATTTTAGTAAAATGTATCTTGAAAGAAAAATACTAAAGGATAGCAAAAATGATTAATAAAATAAATTTCAAATTTATTATATAAATTCTTTTCTTTTATTTTTAATATTTTTCATTCGTATTTTTAGGATATTAATTTATAAAATAGTTTAAAACTATTAAAGAAAGTATTCATCTTAATCATTATATTTAAACAATTTAAGTAGAATTTAGATAAAATAAAATATTAAAGACTAGGAAAAATGCTCAATAAATTAAATTATTATAATAAATGCTTTATTTTAATATTTTTTATTAGTATTTCTACAAAATTCATTTATAAAATATTTTTAAACTATCAAAGAAATTATTCCTTTTAACCTTTATATTTAAATAATTTTAGAAAAATGTATCATAAAAGGCAAATACTAAAGAATAAAATAATTGGTTTACCAAAAAAAAGAATAAAATAATTTCTCAATTAATTAAATTTTTAAATTTATTATATAAATGCTTTGATTTTAATTTAATATTTTTTTTACAAATCCAAAACATTCATTTATAAAATATTTTAACCATTATATTTATGTAATTTTAGTAAAATGTATCATAAAACACAAATACTAAAGAATAGAAAAAATGCTTAATAAATTAAATTTTAAATTTATTATATCAATGATTTTATTTTAATTTTAGTATTTTTTATTGGTATTTCTAGAACATTCATTTATTAAATATTTTTAAACTATTGAAAAAAGTATTGCTTTTAAGCATTATATTTAAATAATTTTTGTAAAATATATCATAAAAGACAAATAATAAAGAATAGAAAAAATGTTCGATAAATTAAAATTTTAAATTATTATACTAAATTTTTTTTCTCTTAATTTTAATATTTTTATTAGTATTTCCAGAACACTCATTTATAAAATATTTTAAAACTACCAAAGAAATTATTCGTCTTAATCATTATATTTAAATAATCTCAGTAAAATGTACAGAAACACAAATATTAAAGAATAGGAAAAATATTCAATAAATTAATTAATTATATTAAATTCTTTGCTTTTAATTTTAATATCTTTTATTGGTATTTCTACAACATTAATTTATAAAATATTTTCAAACTACTAAAGAAAATATTCCTCTTAACCATTATATTTAAATAATTTTAGTAAAATGTATCATAAACACAAGTATTAAAGAATATGGAAAATGTTCAACGAATTAAATTTTTAAATTTATTATAAAAAAAATTTATTTTATTTTATTTTTTATTAGTATTTCTAAAACATTCATTCATGAAATGTTTTTAAACTATTAGAGAAAGCATTCCTTTTAATCGTTATATTAAAATAATTTAACTTATTACCAAAAAAAATTAACTAATATGTATCATAAATACATGTATTAAAAAACCAAAAAAAAATGCTCAGTAAATTAAAATTTTAAATTTATTGTAATAAATGTTGAGAAAAGTGTTTGTCATTTTAAATGATATAAATTTATGTAATTATAAAAGAAAGATAGACACAATAAATTTTTTTTTTTCAGAGATGAGTGAAGAGAGAGAAACCGGCAAGGAGGCAGAGATGCTACGGCGGAGGAGGAAGATCTTCTCCATCGAAGCACAAAAAACCTAAAGGCCCTGCTATGGAAGATCAACCTATGGATGATCACATGGCAGAGGAGGATATCCAGGTGAATGTGACTAGCAACAGGGGGAAAAAGAAGGAGGAGTCAGGTGATTCATCTAACAGGAATATGGTGTCATATAAATATTCTCTTCTTGGTTTTAATGGAGGACCTCATGCTGCTGATAGCGATGAGGAAGATTGGGTAGAAAAACTACGTAAGGAAGAGGACGAAGAAGAAGGGGATGAGGTCTTTGTTACGGTTGATGGTGAGGAGGATCCTCTTTGCCCAACGTACTCTTTTCCAAAAGCCTTGCATTTAGAAGGTTGCAGACCTTGGAGACAGGCAATGATTGTGAAACTTCTGGGGAAGAAAGTTGGAGTTAGATTCTTACTCAATCGTTTACTGAGAATGTGGAATATCTCAGGCACTTGTGAGTTCATTGATATGGAGAATGACTACTTTTTGTTTCGATTTTCCGATAAGAATGATTACTCTCATGTTTTGGAGGATGGTCCTTGGATCATAGTTGATCATTATGTGGTAGTTCAACGATGGCGTCCATTTTTTAATCCTTATGATGTTGAGATCAGAAAGCTGGCAGTTTGGATTCGTATTCCAGGACCTCCTATTGAATTCTATACCTCTCGTCATTTGTGGAATATAGGTAGTATTTTTGGTCG